CGCCTTCTCGTACGTCCCCGGCCGCGCCTCGGCCAGCCCCGCGTCGGCCACCAGATCCAGCACCGCATCCAGCGCGGTGGCTCCGGCGCGCGGCGCGCCCCGCGCCGCAGGCATCCCCGCCTCGTCCACCAGCCCGCACAGCAGCGCGGTCAGCCGGGAAGGGCACGCCCACGTTGTCCAGCAGCACGTCCAGCACGGCTTGGTCCAGGGGGTGGGAGGGGGGGGGATGCAGCGCCAGAGGGCGACGCCGCGACGCCAGGTGCCGCGGCGCCGCCGTCGCCGCCGTCGCCGCCGTCGCCGCCGTCGCCGCCACCGCCGTCCGCGGTGCAGTCGCCGACGCCTGCGCGGAGGGCCGCGGCCCACGCGTCCCGCGCCTCGGCGGCGACCGAGGCGCCGCCCGCGCCGCGCGCGCGCGTGGCCAGCAGCGCGCAGGCCAGCGCGGGGCGCAGCGCGGCCAGCGCGCCCGTGGCCTCCACCGCCGCAGCTGCCAGCCGCGCGTCCAGCGGGTACGCCGCCAGGCCCAGCAGCGCTGGCAGGCGCGCGCGGCCGTGGCGCAGCAGCGTGTCGGCGGCCGCGCCGGCCGCGTCGCGGTCGCGCGCGTCCAGCGCCGCAGAGAGGAAGCGCAGCGCGGCGAGCGTGGCGCGCTCCCGTGCGCGCCCGTGCGCCGCCGACCGTGCGTCCACCAGCGTGCGCACGCCGCCCTCCAGCACGCTCCACAGCGTGCGGTACACGCCGCGCTCGCCTGTGGGAGGGTCCAAGAGGAGGGGGAGAAGGTGGGGGGTGCGTTGCTGGTAAAAAGTGCACGCTTGGGTTGTGGCAGGATTAGGGTGTGAGGCGGGGTTGGCGGGCGGGGAGGGACCGGGAGCCAATGCAGGGAGGGACCGGCGACGGCCAGGCTCGGGGCTCCTGGGCCGGGGCGACAGTCACCGCCAGCGCGGGTTCCACTCTCGTGGCGCTCAGCCTTCGACGTCAGGTGTGCACGCCCCATCGAACGCTGAGATTCCCCCATCACCCCTGTTCCCATCCGCCCCTACCACGTCCCCACACACCTGCCAGGTCACGCAGGATAGCCTGCGCCTGCCCGCCGCCGCCGCTCGATACAGGGGCTGGCGAGTCGCGCCCCAGCACCAGGCTGGCGTGCTCCAGGCCCGCCTCGGCCAGCTCCCACTTCTGCGCCTCCAGCCTGTGTCGGGGAAGGGGGAGTCGAGCTGCCATACAGGGGATGGGAATGGGGACGTACCAGGCTTGGCACGCCCTGCCAAAGCCACCCAGTCCATGCACATCACCCTCGGGCGCTCCCACATGCCCTCCCCCCTCCCAAGACACACACACACACTCCAGAACGTCTGTCCTCCCATGCATCAGCACGCGCCTGTAGCTGCGCTGGAAAACGCTGGACAGCACGGTGGCGACGATGAAGTCGGACACTGCGTCCATGCCCTGCGCGCTGACTGGGCCCAGGCTGCGCCAGAGCACATTGGCGAGGCGGGTGAAGGACAGCGTCTCCTCGTACCGCTCCGCGCGCGCCTGGGCGGGGTGGGGCACAGGGGTCGGGTGAAGCGTGTGGGTGAGGGGGGGGGGTGCAGGAGACGCGGCGCTGCTAGCATGCTGGCGCTCGTGGGCAAGCGCCCTGCGGACATCGGACGCTGCCATGACACAATGGTTGGCCATGGTGGCAGGGGCCCCTGTCCTCGCTTCACGACGGCCCGTCGATCCGGAGGGGCCTCATCCCATCGCACCCCCATGCTTGATTTCGGATCCCAGCACACGCATGTTGCCCAGGACCACCAGGTAACCCCCGCCTCACCTCGACCTCGTTCAGCTGGTACCCGATGTCGTAGTGGGGGAGGGCGGGGGGCGCGCCGGCAGGGCGGGCGGACGGCACCACCGCCGGCAGGAGGCTGGACAGGATGGCCGGCGCGACCTCCGGCAGGCGGGCCAGGGCGGCCAGGGCGGCATTCAGCGCCGCCTTCAGCTCCTGGGGCACGGGGCTGCACATGCACTGGATCAGGACCTCCCACACCGGCCCCAGCCCCAGCTCCTCCGTGAGCTGGACAAGCCAGAGGGCCGTCTCGGCGGCCGGCGCGTGGGACATCACGGCGCTGCGTGGAGTGGTGGAGCGGGGCAGGGAGCTTGGGCGTGATCGTGTGTGTGCGACAACACGTAAGGGCTTGCGGATTTGCATATCGGGATCTCTGCCTCCAGGCAGCGCGGCGACGAGCTGCACAAGGCCCTCGCCGTCTGCAAACACCCTCGGACCCCTCGGCACCATCACTACACACACACACTCACACACACACACACCTGAAGAGGTGGACCTGCGCGCACAAGCCCGCGCTGTCCCAGGGCGGCAGCTCCTCCTCGGGCTGCTTCTGGGGCGCGGCGCCGCCGCTGCCCTGCTGCTGCGGGGCAGGGGCATAGCGCTGGATGACCTGCACCAGGCCCCCAAACACCTGCCGCCAGCCCACCGCGCCGTTGTTGTGCTCCGCACCCAGCTGCGAGGGGGGGTGAGGGGATGGAGGGGGGGTGGGCAAGGGCAAGGGGCGGCGGGTATCGGGCGCGCGTGCAGGGGAGGGGGCCGACGCCGGGGCGTCGGCCGCCCCCTCCAGGCGCTCATCCGCAGGCTGATGCTCCTCTGGCGGCGCGCGTGGGTCCAAGTGCCACCAGCGACACGACCCCTTCCCTTCCCCCCACCCGGCCCACTCAATCCCCTGCCACATCGGCCCGGGCATGGGCGCCGGGGCGCCCCTTGGACTCTGCCGATGCGCACCTGGACGAAGATGGAGCGTGCGCCGTCGGGGGAGGCGGCCAGCGCGGCCAGCACGCCGTGGTAGGCCACGAAGACGGAGGGCACGCGTGCCAGGACCTGGGTCCTGGCAAAGTAGGGCCCCATGAGGTCGGTGAACTCCTCCTGCCGCAGCCCCTCGTCCAGGAAGAGCTCGGGGGCGGCGCGCACCGTGGCACCCAGCAGGTCCAGCAGGGAGGCCAGGTCGTCCGGGCGCTCTGGGGTAAAAGGAGCTGGGGGTCGGGGATGAGGGGGAGAGGGTTTGGAGGGGAGAGGGGCAGGGGGGTTGAGAGGGAGGGGGGCAGGGGGTTGAGAGGGAGAGGGGCCCAGAGGTTGAAGGGAGAGGGGGGCAGGTGGCGCGGGCGGCGAGTCACGAGGCAGAGGGGTGGGCGGGCGCTTTGGGATGGGTACACGCGCTGGGCGGCTGGCCGACAGGGCGGCGCCTTTGCGCGAGTGCCCGCCCGTGCCACGCGCGCCAAGCCACCCCCGAATCGCCTGGGCCCTGAGCCGCAGCGTGCAGGCCCCATGGGCCCCCTTCCCACCACCATCCCCGCGCATGCCTGCACCCACACCCCGGGATCACGCACCTGGTGCAGGCTCTAGGCCCGGGTTTTGGGCCAGGACGAGCGCGGAGCCTGCCTCCCCCACCTCGAACTCCGCCTGGCTGTTGGCCAGCGAGGCCTGCGTCAGCCCCGTCAGCACGCCCTGGCCCTCGGGAGTGCCCAGCAGGGCGCAGACCAGCCCATGCGCCAGGCGGGCCGCACCGGCAGCCAGCAGCGCCGGGCCGTCGGTCACCACGGCCGAGAGTAGGACGCCGTGGCGCAGGAAGGCGAGCGCGCCGTGGGACACCGCGGCCTGCGACACGCTGCGCAGGGAGCCTGCACGGGAGTTTTTTTTTTGGGGGGGGCGAGGCGCTGTGGAGCCTTCGGGTGCGGGTTTGTCATGGTGGCGAGTGAGTCCGCTGTGCAGGGAAGTACAGGGAGATCTGAACCGGCCGCTGGGCAGCGCCCTTCGCCAGGCAGCCGTTCTTGGCCTGGTGGCAAGCAGCACGAGGACATCGGGGCCACATCCCCAGCCAAGCGGTGAGCAGCGACGCTGTACCCACCCACCCACCCACCCACCGGGGCTCTTGGCCTCCTTCTCTCCGGCCGCCAGGATGGCCCACGCAATCTTCACAGATGAGCAGGTGGGGTCGGGCAGCGCCGCCACCGCCTCGTCCAGCTGCTTGTCAAAGCGGAGCGAGCGGAGCTGGGCACCCATGCCTTCGGGGTCGTCCACGCAGGGCACCAGGACGTACAGCGTGCACAGCAGGAGCGGGACAAAGGCATGCGCGCGCTCCTTGGCGTCGATGCTGCCTGCAGTTGGACGGATTGGGGTGGGGGTGGGGTGGGGGGGTGGAGGTGCTGCTGCGGGACACAGTGTTTTGCAGGGCGACCCCAAGGGTTGGTAAAGCTGAACGCATAGGTTGCACACCCCTCCGCTAGCGGAAGGTTCTGTTGCAAGAGATTGTGGGCCCGGCAGCAGGAACGGGAAGCGTGGCAATGTAATGGCTCTGGTAGTCTTCGTTCTGTTCCTCCCCAGGCAGCTGCCGGGGCACGAAACTCAGTCCGGGCTCTGTGCAACGCTAGGTCCACACCAAGTCCGCCCGGCCAACCCGGCCACCTCCCATCCCTGCGCATTGTCCTTCCCGGCTCCCATCCCTCCCCTGGACCTCCCTCTCCCACCCACCCATCACCTCTGAGTAGCTGGAGGAGCTGAGGGAGGTGTTTGGCGGGCGGTTCGGCCTGGCTGGACAGCAGAGTCAGGGTCAGGCTCAGGCACTGGCAGAGGAGCAGATCCTCCTGCGCGGCTGCGAGGGACCGCTCTGCGGCCTGGCCGGCGCTGTTGACCAGTGAGACCAGACGAGACCCATCTGCTGGGGCTGGAATGGCTGGGGAGGCCAGGCGCTGCAACAGCAGGGCCGCCAGGTCCTGACAAGGCTGGCCCCGATCCAGTCGTTCCCGCACATAGTCAATGTCCGCGGCAGGGACCCAGGAAGGCGGCGGGGTGCCTGTGGAAAGAGCCTCCAGTACAGCAAAGAGTGTCTGAATGGCACTGGAGCGGGCCTCAACAAGCTGCCCAGCACCTGCTGCCGCCGACACCTCCCCGACCTGTGAAATGGGGGGTTCAGAGGGGGAGGTGACGACAGGCCAGCATCATCTGCGCATGGTGGGGGCATGATGGCTCCAAACTCCCACACTGGCGTCCTGTGGGGGACCCACCTGCTCATAGCCGCGCTGAATCAGGTTTAGTGCCTCCAGCTCGTCGATCTTGAACTCATCAGCCAGGAGCAGGATCTGCTCCACGTCGGGGAGGCGATCCAGCTGCACAGTGCCGAATGGTGTCCTGGGGTTGCATGATTCTATCTCTGCTCGCGAGGTGGGATTGGGAGCAGTCTGCTCCCATATCAGTGCCAGGCTAGGGACGTCGCCCATCTCCTCCCCCGCAGGAGCTCAGCGCGTGATTCTATTCATCCTTGTCATCTGATATAGCCTATGTACAGTTCGATGCAATCTTGGTGGAGCCAGACCATTCGAAAGTTCTGGCGGACGATCAAATGCATTCCCTGTGAGTACACACGCTCTCCCGACACAGGGCGGGAGTGGGAGGGCGGGGGGAGGGCAGCCGTTCCACGACAATCAGTTTCGTGTGGCTCAACTTGTTCCATCGATCAAGTATTGACCAATGGATTCATTTGATATCATGAATGGGTACGGGGGTGGCCTCGCTTGTGGGTGAGCACCGTAGCTCAGCAAGGGGTGAATGACCAGGTCGGGTAAGGGGCACCTAGGAGACATGGTCGAAGACGGAGGACCATGGGGGGTGGTGTTGGAAGGTATGCCTTAACTTTATTGTGTAAACTATGTCGAAGCTTCCACTCTGCCGTAAATCGACCTTGGTTTTGCGTACTGACTGGCACACAACTCGTTACAGTGCAAAGTACCGCCCTGCCATCCTTGCCACCCCTTTGTGGTTGCTTCAAGCGTTTGGAAACGGATCAGTAGCAAGCCACGAAGTTTATCCTCCTGTTGAGTACACCAGATCGGAACTGCTGGGCCTGGCTGTTCAGGGGTCGTTACATCGACTTCAGCTGGTAAAATTCAACCTTGACCCAGCGACAAATGCGACAGGCAGCCATTAACATTGCCCATGCCCAGCAGCAAAGCTCTGAAGCTTTAAAATCAGTCAAAATAGCTGCCCGCAGCTCTTAGGGTGCGTTTGTACATATGTATTTGCGAGGTTGGCCAGGCAGTGATGGGCTAAAAGGTGCAGTAGGAGGATACTGAAATCATGACTTTCACGCTTGGGTTTTCACTTGCCTGTGGAATGCCCGGATCGAGGGCACCAATGCTGAAGGCTGGGGGAATTCTCGAAGTGGTGAGCGGCGAGGGTGCAGCTCGCTCAGCGAGGGCTGGGGCCTGGACTGGGCGAAAGCAGGATGGGGGGTGAATCTTGGGACGGTGGATTGGAGGCTGGGCTTGGAGGTGGCGGGCTAAAGGATGGCTTTCGCGGCGGTGAAGGCTGGTGCAGGATGGGGGGTGGTGGACTTGTACCTGGCATGGGAGGGGTTGTTAGGCTTTTTGGGGGAGATGAAGGAGACGGGCTGGGCTGTGCAGGGCTGAGGGGAGGGGTGGGATGACTGACTGGGGGAGAGGGGGCTGAGAGGAAGGGGCTGGGATAAAGATTTGGCGGCGATGGGTTGGGCTCAGGGTTGGGGTGTGCAGGTGTGGCCGCAGGACTGTGCTGCAATGGGCTAGGGGCTGGACTGGTCTGGGTGGGGCAGGGTGCAGTGCTTGGATGTGAGAGGCTGGGCATGGGGCTGGGCACAGTGGGGTTAGGGATGGGGATGGGATGTGATGGGCTGGGCACAGGGCTCGGCTGACTGGGGCTGGATGCAGGACTGGGATGTGCTGGTGCAGGTGCGGGGGTGGGCTGGGTGGGAGATGGCGCGGGCACTGGATGTGCTGGCGCAGGTGCGGGGGTGGCCTGGGCAGGAGTCGGCGCGGGCAAAGGCTGGGCAGGAGTGGGCGCGGGCGTGGGCTGAGATGGAGTCGGCGCGGGCGCGGGCTGGGCAGGGGTCGGCGCGGGCCAAGGCTGGGCAGGAGTGGGCGCGGGGGTGGGCTGGGCAGGAGTCGGCGCGGGCCAAGGCTGGGTAGGTGATGGCGCGGGTGTAGGCTGGGATGGGGCGGGCGCAGGGCTGGAATGGGACGGACTAGGGGCAGGGCTTGGTGGCTGATGAGGTTGACTTGGGCTGGGGGCAGGCACCGGCTGTTGGGGGCTGGGCGGAGGAAGGGATGATAGTGGGCTGGGGAACGGGCTAGGCGGTGTAGGGCTGGGGTATGGAGGTGGCGGCAGGGTGTGGGGATGTGGTGATGGGGGTGGTGGGTGTGGGTGAGGAGATGGCAGCGGAGGAGGTGGCTTTGGGCCTGGTGGCGGAGATATTGGGCCTGGTGGCTGCGGATGTATCCTGGGTGGCGGTGGTGGTGGGATGTAAGCTGAAGGTGCTTTGGGTGAGATCGGACGAGGTCGTGGTCTTGGAGGCGGTAGAGTTGGCGTTGTTGGAGGCGAGGGCGGTGGATGGACTGGTAGGTGAGGTGGTGTATGCCTAGGAGGAGGCGGCTGCCTTGGGACTGTTGGTGGCTCCAAGGGGCTGGGAGACTTCCTCCTTGGAGGAGGGGGATGGTGCCTGTGGTGTGGAGGTGGAGGGGACGATTTCCCCCTTGGAGGCGGGGATGGGGTTCGCCACGGGGATGGAGGGGACTCCCTGGTGTGAGGAGGAGGAGGGTGAGCCCTCCTGTGGGGGGTGGGAGGAGGAGCGCTACTGTGCGGAGGGGCATGCCTGGGTGATGGTGGTGGTGGATGTTTCCTTCTGGGAGGCTGCGGTGCCTTCCGTGGGGGAGGACTGTGTGCAAGGTTTATTGCGATTGTGTGGGCCGTGAGCAGCTCTGATGCACTGCAGTCCTGGGCATTGCCCTTCCCACTATTGCATGTATTCTGACGACCGGCATTATTGTAGCCAATATTGTATTCACCCGCGTTACCGATACCTGTTAGGGATTTGGGAGGCAGGGAGGCCTGGTCATGGGTCTACACACACAATCGAACTTGGCAGACTGGTGTGGTGGAGGAACAGTGATTGTAGAATAATGGACCAACGACCGAAAACGAGTCTTGGGGGCAGTCCTCTGCGTGCCTCCAATCATGCAACAGGAAACCATGTTCAGGTCCCTGGTTGGGTCACAGTGAGGATGTCATAGGTGTTCAAGATTCATGGATCACCTCACCTATGTTGTGCGACCCGAAGTTCTGGACGCCAAAGTTGAAGCATCCCAAGTTTCCAGAACCAATGTTACCCAAGCGATCTGCTGGGCAGGCATTCTGGCCATGCCTCAAGCATTCGACTGCTGCCAGTGCCTGACAGGACGGCGATTTGCAAATCGTCAAGGATGTCAGACTCACTGCTGCCACAGAATGGCTCAGCTTGCCAAGGTTTGTTGTTCTGGTCGACCCTGCTTTGGCAAATCCTTGCTTCCTGCAGGTTTCAGTGCACCCAGGGCATGGGATGCGAGCAGGCACAGGAAACAGGTCCGGAACTGGATGGAGTTATGGATCCAGAAGTGGGCCAACCCACAGAGCAAGAGATCAACTCACCTACAGAATGACGTGCTGCTGTCGGGTGTCAGGAGGAAGACTGATGCTCCCGACCTGTGACGTGGGGGGGGTGCACTTGGAGTCAGCAGGCGGAGAAAGATGTTCCCGTTTGCCATTGTATAACGCTGTGTCTATTGTGCCTATGAAGGCCAAAGATCATGATATACATATGACTAATCGAGGATTGGTACCTTGCGCTGGGGAGGGAAAAAAACGTGGACGTACAGGAGGCCTGTGAGGCCTGTGAGGCCTGTGAGATGCAGGAGGTGGAACAGGGGGGATGAGACTCAACTCGAGCGGTACGGCTCATGACTCTCCTGATTCTGCGTGCCCCTTGTCTCACCTCTGGAGCTGAGGCTGTCGGCTGGGCAATGACCAGGTGCGCGCACACCAGCAGTGCGCATAGTTCGAGGCGCATTTTCCGATGGGGGACTCCTCACCCGCACTCCTGGCCACTCTTCGTGAGTTGCAAAAGTAATGATGCGAGATACGCCTCACTTTCCCTACTCACTCAAGCACAAAAGTGGGAATCTGTTCGGAGTCACATTCGGAAATGACACCTGGACACCTGGCTGCTGTGGGGGTTCCACTTGACCGGGCCCTTTCCCCACTTTCCACCTATTCCCGCTCTGCCCCGCGTCCACGTGTCCTTGCGACGCCTATGAAACCCGACCATCACACTGCGTTCGGGGTCTCGTCTGTAACATTCCTACTTCAGGTCATATACAGCGGTCCACCGTTGTGGGGGCCAGCCCGCCCCCACAACACTGGCACGGTGGCGGAAATTTCTGCCCTGGGGCATTGCAGTGTCCACTACGAGTGCGAACGTCATCGATCCGAGAGATTCAATTGACAGCCCAGGCACATCGTAACCCGAAGGTGCCAACGCTTGCTGGGATCTGCCATCGACTGGGAATTGGTTCCCTCATTCAGTACAGAGGTTTGGAATGGGCATTCACGCAGACGCAGCGGACTTCGCAACTCCCCAAAGAACTTTTTGATGAGACAAGGGCAAGATTCCAGGATAGCAAAAGTGTCGTCAGGCTATCGTTCGGGTTAGGGTGCCAACAGCGCCCCCTGCCGAGTGTTGTTTCCATCGGCCGGTGAATCTTGATGCCCCTTGAGGCAAGTGGTGATGCATGGGATCGAGTTGGAATGCCCGAGCGTGCAGTGACTGGAGCAACCCATCCCAAGAAGTTTGGACGGTGCCGAGTCTGATCTGGATATTTTTGATACCCTTTGCGTACTGACGTGCTGCCAGGGTACGACCTATCCTCCTGCGCCTCTAGGTTTATGTCCTAAGGAAAATCGGGTGCGACAGGGGTACTAGGCGGGTTGTCTGGTGTTGTGGGGGCGGGTTAGACCCTACAACGTGGACCGCTGTATATGACCTAAGATAGGAATGTTACAGACAAGGCCCCGAATGCAGTGTGTTGGTCGGGTTTCATAGGCGTCGCAAGGAGGCGTGGACTCGGTGCGGAGCGGGAACAGGTGGAAAGTGGGCCAAGGGCCCGGTCAAGGGGAAACCCCACAACAGGTGCGCTGCTGCAGCCATGCAAATGGCTGGCACTTGAGGGTGCTCTGATATGGGGTATGCCCTGCCGCATCCTGTTTTGAGAGCTGGGAAGGGGCTCTTAGAGAAACCAGTACGGTAGACTCGTCTGCCCTGGGGTTATCTTGTACACCGAGGGGGGGGCTCACATGCATTGTATAAAGAATGGCAAATCATGCCAGACCATTCCTATCCCCACAGGCAATAAGCACCAGGGAAGCCACAACATCGGCACCAACTACAAGGGCAATGCCAATATCTGCAACAACCTGTCTGGCGCCTCTCGACCCTGCACCCCAGCTGATCTGGTCACCGGGGACACCATAAATCTTACTTCGACCCCTCCACCATCCAAGAAGCGTTCTCCTCCTCCGCCACTCAAGAAGCGGTCCCCTCCACCACCCAGGAAGAGGTCGTCCCCTCCGCCCAAAGCCAGGTCTCCGCCGCCCAAGAAGAACAGTTCGCCCCCACCCCAAAGACCCGGTCCTTCCCTCCCCCAAAGGCCAGCTCGCCCCCGCCCCAGAAGGCAAAGTCGCCCTCCCCCACCACCCAGTGCATTCAGGATCATCGTCAACTTCATGGTGTGCGACACCCTGACGTCCTCATCTGTCATCTGCACATCCAGTGTGACGACCACTGCCATTCCCTCCTTGCTGACGTTGATATTTGTCTTTGCGTTTGGACCAAGTAGGACTCTGACCCTGACACCCACAAGTTTCACCACCGTGAACACAACCACCTTGGCCTCGACCAAAGCTAAAGGCACAGTGACTGCAGCCGCCCTCGACCCAAGCACAAAACAAACGGTGGCGTCGCCATCTGTCCCCATCGTAGATGCACCCCTGCCACCACCATCACCGTCCCCTCCAGCTCCACGCAGCCCAATGATCACCAGTCCCTCACCCGGGGCGTCGCCACCACCTCCAAGAATGCACCCCCCTCCTCCACGCAATCCTCCCCCCTTCCCCACCTAGTCCGCCGGCCCCATCACCCCCAAGCCCTCCACCTCCTTCTCCGCCGAGTCCACCACCATTTCCATTTCCCCCAAGCCCCGCACATCCTTCCCCGTCCAATCCACCACCGTCCCCGTCGCCGTCAAGGCCCCCACCTCCTTCCACGCCCAGTCCACCATCCCCGCCGCCCCCGAGCCCTCCACCTCCTTCTCCCCCGCCCCACCACCCTCTACCCTGACAGGAACAGTTTTCCTTCAACTATGTGAACTCAGCGGGAGCCAATGTGCACGACGTGTTGCCGGAGCTGGTCACAGCAGCCTCTACCGCCCACCTGCGGTCGGAGCTTGCGTTGCGTGGGCCTACTGCCACGGCGATGAGTGCGCTGCGCGCTCTGCAGGCGGCAAGGAGCGTCGATGCCAACGCGGCCTTGACCAGCGCTCTGCTGCGTGCCGGGCCGATGCTGAGTGCGTGGTCGGCATCTAGCTAGATGGAGGTGAGGGGCCTCTGCAATCTGAGTGCGTCTTGGAGCTGGTCTGCACGGCGAGCGCCACGCAGGATCCCACGCTGCGCCAAGCGCCGCAAGCGCTGGCGCAGATGCTTCTAGGCGGGTCGCTGGCCTTTGAGGATGCCGTGGAAGACGGTGAGGGTGGCGGAGAGCTCTGGAAGACTGTGCGTGTTTGGAAGGGTAATACTTGGTGATGTAGGTGCTAGGGGCTTGGAGGCGTCATGATTGCTGGTCTGGCTGCAGGAAGTTCCAGTCTCTGCCAGACTCAACATCCCCGAGCTGATCCTTGCACTTTCCAGTCTGCAGGGCCTGCAGCCGTCGCGCATGGGTTCTCTGCTCCACGGCGCATCATGCTGCGCTCAGCCATCTGCCCTTCCTATATCCTCTAGAGACAACCAAAAGCCTGCAACGAGTCAGGTCGATGGGTTCGCGCACGGCAAGGCTGCACCTCTGCCAGAGGCAGCGGGTGCTGTGGAGGGACCTGACCAGCCCGCAGCACTCAGCGAGCTGGGCGCCTGGGGTGCCGACCTCAGCCTTGTCCTGAAGATGCGAGTGGAGTGACACAGAGCATTGGTGACTATGGTTGATGGCGACCAGGAGGTGCTGCGGGATGGCTGCTGCACATCTACCAGCTGCAATGCCTGTGCTCCCGCAGGATTGGCAATGGCAGGGCCGCCCACCACACCCACCGCCCACGCACCCTGCATGTAGCCTCGGACGATGCTTGGAGTGTGCTGGGATTGCACTTTCTGGGGTGACTGCTGCGACTCATCTGCATTGATGGTGCTGTGAGACCCATACAGCTGCCGGTGGTGGCGACTGCTGGAAGACTGCGTCGAACAGGTCAGCCACCCTGCACACCGCTGGTGTCTTTCCAGTCCTTTCTCGTTTCCACTTGTAACCCACACCTGGAGGATACTGTAACAGATGCACAGCAGCATATACGGGACAGGGGATCTGTCTACATGGGGTCGGGAAGTCTGAGTTTCAAGCTGTGGGCATTGTTGACGCCCTTGCCCTCACTGGCTTCCATCATGAGCAGGGATGCACGACCACGTTTACACATGCATGTCAGAACGAACAAAGACATTGCATCCTTTCATCTCCTTTGGCATGCTTTGTGAGACACTCTTCCCTGGACTTGGCCTTGGCTTTGCATCTGCTGCCAGTGAACCTGCATGCAAAGTACTCCCAGGCATCGGCATCCCATAGTGACACTTCCTGCCATCCAGCCCCACCGTTTCCGCTTCCCTTGTATGTCTTCATGCGACCTTGGCAGACGTGAAGATGCACTCTGCTGACATTTACAATCCAGACATTCCCTCTGTGGTGCTCGCCGTCTTCCCCGAGGTGCGCATCGTGCTCACCAGCGACGTCGCCGCGGTGTGCCCCGGCAACCTGGTGCACCTCAGCGCCAAGATCGACCAGCTCGCCGGCGGCAGCCTGGGCGACCTGCGCTTCAGCCTGCGCCCCGGCGCCGGCGTCAAGAGCCTGTGGCCGCTCCGCAGCGTCGCCGCCGGGGTGCAGGTCGATGCGGTGCCCGACGGCTTCGCCCTCCCCAGCGCCAGCGACTCGGCGGGAGCGCTGGGCTGGGTTCTCATGGCCGGTGGCGGCCTGGGCTACGGCAGCCTGGCGGGGACCTTGGAGGCGGCGCGCGGCAGCGCCAGGGTGGCGCCCTCCGTGCTGCAGATCCCCGGGGCGTGTGAACCCGACTTCGTCGAGGCCACCCTCGCCGGCCGGGCGTTCGTGGACGAAAACGGCGATGGGTTCGCTGGCCCAGACGAGGCCGGCCTTGCGGGGGCCATGGTGGCCCTGTCAGCCGGGGTGGACGCCCGCACCGACGCCATGGGCCACTACCACATCACCTGCCTTGCGCCGGGCCGCCACGCCATCAAGCTGGACCCACCGCCCACGCACCCTGCATGCAGCCTCGGACGATGCTTGGAGTGTGCTGGAATCGCACATTCTGGGGTGACTGCTGCGGCCCATCTGGATTGATGGTGCTGCGAGACCCATACGGCTGCCGATGGCGGCCACTGCTGGAAGACTGCTCCGAGCAGGTCAGCCACCCTGCACACCGCTGGTGTCTTTCCAGGCCTTTCTCGTTTCCACTTGTAACCCACACCTGGAGGATACTGTAACAGATGCAGAGCAGCATGTTGGGGACAGGGGATCTGTCTACATGGGGTCGGGAAGTCTGAGTTTCAAGCTGTGGGCATTGTTGACGCCCTTGCCCACACTGGCTTCCATCATGAGCAGGGATGCAGGACCACATTTACACATGCATGTCAGAACGAACAAAGACATTGCATCCTTTCATCTTCTTTGGCATGCTTTGTGAGACACTCTTCCCTGGACTTGGCCTTGGCTTTGCATCTGCTGCCAGTGAACCTGCATGCAAAGTACTCCCAGGCATCGGCATCCCATAGTGACACTTTCTGCCATCCAGCCCCACCATGTCCACTTCCCTTGTATGTCTCCATGCGACCTTGGCAGATGTGAAGATGCACTGTGCTGACATTTACAATCCAGACATTCCCTCTAATCTGTTGTGTTGACATGCAGGATGAGCAGTCTAGAGAAGTTGTGCCACCCTGCACACTGGGTTGGCGACATGACATCATGGAGTGCTAAAGAAACAAGATTAGTAGACACTGTGTGCTGTCTTGTGTGCATGCATGTAGCTTGCTCTAGTCACTCCTGCAGACATCTGTCAGTGCTGTGCAGGGTCTCAGCCGCATGCCGAGCTGCACCACAACAGTCAACATTGTCTCTGTGATGGTATTGTGAACTATACCAAGTATGCTGGAGACAATCTGGAATGAGAGCACGGATGCACTAGGGATGCAACAAGACTTCAACCTTCCGATTCCGAGCATTATCTTTCTCGTTCGTTGACCGATGTACGGTCAGGCGGCATCAGATCAATCAATCTCCTCGCCACGCAATTAGAGGAAGCTTCATCCCCACACGATCTCCCCACTTCTGTTCACCCGCCCGCCCATACCTGTACAGACACACACTCTGGCGACTTCAGTGATGTCTTAGGCACACGAAAATTCTCCCTCTTGCATCAAAACTACAGCTTTCC